GAACAACCGCTACTTGAGAATTAAGCAGGGACAATCATATACTATGTTACAGCTAATAAAAACAGATGTACCCCAAAGAAGCGTCCTGGGACCACTCTTATATATTTTGTTCACTAGCGATATGCCTACGCCGCCGAACAGCGCAATCGCCACATTTGCAGATGATACCTGCATCATTACTACTGGTAAAAATGTAGTAGAAAAGTCAAACAGAACGCAATCTTCAATCAACCTTATTGTAGAATGGGCAGAAATGGAATATTACTCTCAACGAGTGGAAGTCTATACATATAAACTTCATTAACAAAACTGATACGTATATCCCCTTATATATTGGGACGCTGGATGCAAAGTTAAAGTGGAAGGAGTATATTCAAAGAAAAGTTGCAGAACTAAAACTAAAATACAACAAAATTAATTGGTTAATCGGCAAGAAATCACCCCTAACAACCTCAAATAAAATTTTAGTCTACAACCAAACGTTAAATCCCATTTGGACATACGGAATTCAGCTATGGGGATGCGCTGCACCGTTATACATTGAAATGGTGCAAAGATTCCAAAATAAAGTCCTGCGAAAAATTGTAAATGCCACGTGGTACATACGGAACTCAGGTCTACATCGTGATCTTCACATCAAAATGGTTCGGGAAGTCATCCGCGAAACAGCATAGAAACATGCCACAAGGTTGCAAAACCACGTAAACGCTGAAGCCCGACAACTAGGAGAGGCTAGAGAAAACATGCGCAGATTGAAAAGAACAACGTTCGATGACCTTCTAAGCAAATAACAAATATTATAATATTTAGTTTTTAATAAAAATTTAGTTTTGAAAAAGTACATTTGTCATTAGTTGCAATTCTAATGAAATGTAAAACCATATCTTGTTACGTTTCAATAAAATAACAAAAAAAAATTGTTTTATAGCATTGGAAAACAGAATGAATTGGAAATAGCAGCAGCAAATCTCAGTTGTAAAGTAAATATGTGAAAAGTATGTGTACATTGAAATTGAACTGCGCAGTCCAATATAATAATAATACTAAATACTTACATATGTATGTATTTTATGCGTTTAAGGCGGTCTGTACTTATATGCATTTACATAAATTATAATACTAATAATATATAAAAGTAAATATATAAAAAATAAAATAAAATAAAAGTTTTAAAACTTTTGTTTGAAATTTTAAAAGTAGGAATAAAATAATAAAATGCAACCCTGCATCAGCCATCGATTGGGGATAATAGAGCAGGACAGGTATACTTTTTTATATGACACTGCTGAATGAGCGCAACAGAGATGTATGATCATATGTATACGTACGCGTGGGGGGAAAAGTGGTTAGAATCTTCACAGGGCCTATGGTAATTTAACTTTTTTCGCTAATTTACTACCCACTGTTTCACTGGTTTTTTAACCGCTCGTGGCTGGCAGGGTTAACACCTGAAACTAAGATATTAGAATATTCCAAATGAAAAGCCGTTATGTTTTCTCGCAAGTCGATATCGTTTGTTAAATGTATATATTCAATCAACTTAAAACATAAAACTAAGGTTTTAGAATATTCCAAATGAAAAGCCGTTGTCCTTTATGCAACCTCCATTAACTTGCAAAAGGGTAATTATCCTTAATATGTGAATTTAGTGTCAACTCGATATCGATATATACGAGTATTACTGCTAAAATTAAGATTGTGCAATTTTTGAAAAATAATAATTAGCCTGAATTTGTGAAATAAGTGTTTTAATGTAATTTGATATCAATTGCTAAATGTATATAGTTTTGGTGTAATGCTGCAGAGTTAAAAATACAATAAGCTCGGCTTCCTTGCTAAGTTCTAAACATCAACTTTGGAGTTAAAAATAAAAGAAACGAGCTTGCTTGCTTAGTTCTATACCTGTCTCTTATACACATCTAGATGTGTATAAGAGACAGGTATATAGTTTTGGTGTAATGCTGCAGAGTTAAAAATACAATAAGCTCGGCTTCCTTGCTAAGTTCTAAACATCAACTTTGGAGTTAAAAATAAAAGAAACGAGCTTGCTTGCTTAGTTCTATACTTCAATATACATATGTCACATATATGTCTTCTGTCTAAAACAACATGATCGAACTGGTTGAAGACTTTTCTATCCGGAGACAGCCAGGTAGCTGGATGTTTTTTCTTGTGCTGGAATCTCCTACTACAGGTACTACTATATTTCGGGCACTGACGAGATCGATCACTCAATCCATTTGGGAATGTTTCTCCGTGGATACTGAAATATAAGTTTCGCTGGTCGTATAAGTTTCGTCACTATTTTAATTATAGTTTTTGAGTCATTCTTTTCCTTAGCCAGAGCCCTGTGCAATCTTGCTGCATCAGGTATAAGAAGACATTTTCACAGAAACTTTTGAAATTTTTCTGCTTTGCAGATCTAATCGCCTTATTGTAGACAGTTAGGTTACTTCTGTACTCCTCCCAGTTTCCAGTACCTTTGGTCCTGTTGAAGAGTTTACTTACCTTTGATCTGAGTACTGAGAGTCTACTTGACCACCAAGAGCAGTTGCGTCTTTTGCATGATCGTCTTTAGGAGGCAGCTGCAGATAAAATAAATATGCTGCAGATGACCTGGTTGAGAGCAGACACTCCGTTCTCCAGTCCCAGGGCCGTTACGCCTCTACCTAGCTTCCCCTCCCCATTAACATTAAGCTCCAACATATCCCCATATGTGGCCCAATTGGTGTTTTTAGGAATACGTTTGGGGGATTTGCGTGATCTATGTACATCCTTAGCCCGAATGTTAAGATCCTTTGATTCGACAGGCTACATTCTCAAACCCAGGATCAGGGGCGTTCTATATCTCCTGGTAAGTAGGCCGCTGCCAGATCGAAATCCTCAAATTTAAATTAAAAAGTCTTACCCTCTTTTTCCCCCAGTATGTAATGAGTGCGACTATAAAATATTTAGTTACTTCGTTCCTTACTTGTACATAACTGTTTTGGCTGTGAACGTGATAGAAGTATTCGAATTAAATAAAAAAAAAAATTAATTAATTAGTTTAAGCTATGAACAGAAGAAATTTCAAAGTGCCAACGTGAAGACTTGGATATTAACCCTGGTGTTCTAATAAATGTTAAGTTCATTTTAATAAATGCACAATTTTTAAACTTTTAGTGTTTATTACAATTTTAAGCCGATAGTGATTTTGCATTAGTTAAATTTAAAAGGTTATTTTCTTTTTTTACATTTATTGCGACCTTTTCGTCTTCGGCCAGAATTTTTAGAAGTTTTGCAGTTTTTTGGTTTTTGTGGTGTAACAGTTTGAGCTGAGCCTTTCGTCATTCTATTTCCGCCAAGTCCACCAATTTTTTTTGAGGGAAGTAAATGCTGACTTACTAATTCTCCTAGTACGCCTTGATGTGCCAACATCGACAGAAAAGTGCATATGAATTCGTCGTAATTGTGGGTTCGTCGACAGTCATCCACCTACAAAATAAGAATAATTTATATATGCATTTCTGTGCTGGAAATTACATATATGTGCCTTCTCCAGTATTTTCATTATTTTATGCTTATCATTATATTATGCTTATTTAATAAAAGAATAATACAGAATGATTGAATTTACCTGTACCTTATTTTTTAATATTAAATGTATCTTTACATATTTGAGATGATAATTTTGCATTGTATGGTATTTGAGATAACAACTGCCGAAATGCATGCTCGGTTTGTCGGGACAAATGTCACAATAAAGTTGTTTGGTGTCTTCTGAGGAGCTTATATCGTTGGAATCATTTCTAACTCCTGTGAGAATGCTATGCAGCTTTACATTTAAGTGAATTTTATTGGATTCGGTGGTTGAAGTGGAGCCTCGGTCGCGTGGCTGGTGGAAATCTCCAGCCAATTGATTAACTAATGTCTTCAAATATGTGTAAGTGACTAAGCGGCCGTTCGCTTCTCTGTTCTTTAGTGGTTTTATATAAAATAAATGAATTTATTAAGCAAATCTCCAAAGCCCTAAGAAACAGTTTACGCCATCATTTCACTGATTTTTTTAGGAAATTGTACGTTGAAGCATACTGATCGGCACGATCGACACCGCCCATGTGTTTGCTGTAATCTATTATTACGTTAGGTTTCTTGACGGTCACTTCTACTCCACCTCGTAAAATTCGTTTTACAGGCGTCATTCCAGCATTATTCCAGTTGGTCAAGCATGTCACAACCCTCTTGTCCTTCGACGCTAAAATTAATGTGTTTGTTTTCCGGTATGCTACTATTGATTTTTTTCTGAATTGTATTATTTTTATTTGTTCTGCTAGATGCTTTCTGTTTGTTAAGATAGTTCCTGCAAGGTGGCATTTTAATTTCAATAATTCTTCGGACACGCATACAGATGCAATGGTATCCTCGTTGCCACCGGAACGTCACGCCTAATCAAGCAGTCTGTTGTCAAACTTCCAAAATAAGTAAGAATACCACAGATATAACCGGTGGTTGAGTCTGTTATAGTATAAACTCGAATTCCGCATTTGGTCAGTTTCTTCGGATTGTAAGTAATGAAGGAGTCCTTTGAACTTGATCGTAGATTCATCCACACAAATTTCTCTTCCCAGTGTAAAATAGTTAAATAATTTTAAAATTATGTAATCGAGGAAACACCTTACTAGCTGAAAGCATGTTCGTAATCCGGCATCTTGTCTATGGATTGTATTTAGATGAAGTATCCAAAAAACCTGATTGAATTTGTCTCTTGTAAACATGTTCGAATATAAAGAAATGTAGCTGACATCTCACTTATGACTAAATTTGCCAATGGCATTGTCCCCATATTTTTGTTATAACACCAACTGTTCAAATATCATTGAACATGCTTACTTATCAGCAAATCCGAAATACTACTAAAAATAAATATCTATTTATATATTGAACAGCCTCATGCATTTACATGCAGTGAGCATCCAATAATAATAAAAATGCATGGGGACATTAGTCATAAATTTACAGATGAGATAACATTAAACATACACACATGTATTGAATTGTATACTTGAAAACAACCCCATATCAAGCAGCATAAACAATATGCTGTAATACGTATATAACATATACACATACACATATATTTAATTATTTAAGATAGTTTTCTAAAATAGTATATAAGTAAATTTTTCAAGAAAAGACTTTTCATTTCCTTCCACCAGTGGTAAGGTTTGACAAAATCTTTATTGAGTTATAACATTTGGATAAAGAGCTCGGCCAGAATTAAAAAGTCCTGTTCAAACTACAGACAAATTAAAACAAATTGTAAGACGGTGTATATTCCCGCATATTAAACCGATCACATAAGCCGTTTTAGCAGATATTAAATGCAGTGATTTAACTGTCATCAAAGAAATTCAGCGGCTGTGAGTCGAGGCACAGCAAGGTCAACTAGGCAAACAAATCAATATACCTCCAACGATTTCTTTGGAGAATACCAGCAGTTACACAAATACGAAAAGTGTTGCCGAAAAAATCATGGGTATAAACAGAAATTAAATTCTTGATCAGTTCAAAGTTGGCAACCACCGTGTAAACACGTGACCTTTTCACGCGTTCTTTTCCTCTTTGCGACCGACTACGATAGTCTAGCCGATTTAGTTACCGCAGCTCCTTAAAGTTGTAGTTGTTAGTTTATTAGTGTAAACATAAAAAAAAAACACAGCGCACAACAACTGTAAACACAGCACGCACACGACTTGCAAACAACTCCAGCAAATAAACCCCATGTAGAAACTACAAACAATAACCCACAAGCAAATAACGGAGCATCCAAGAAAACCTGTCATACTAATTCAATCACACAAACAACTTCAACCAGATCCAAACCTCAGCAGAAAAACAGTACAACAACATCCCCAGTAAGAAAACAAACAGCAACTAACGTCAGCACACCAGAAATAGCGACTACAAGTAGAAATGCAGAAAAAAATTCCAGCCCACCCACCCCTACATACCCCAGCCCAATTACCAGTGATACCGAGATGTCACCTTTCAGCCAATTACACGCAAAATTCCCCAATCTTAACGTCCTCATAACACCAAAAACATATAAAACAACATTACCGTCACATAAGTCAACCAACATAGAAGTTAAGATAGCAAGTGTAGCCCCATCTGCAATTTCCTTGACTGCAGTGAGCGGCTCGATATTTCACCGGATAATGAGAATCATCACCACACAGCRCATGCGCTCTCACAACAACAGGAAATAATTGTTGCCTTGCTCACTAATCCATTTCAACCCGCAATGTGTCAATCGGTATATTCCTAACATGCTTGGTTGGTTGATCGTGAGATTGTTGGAAGGAAAGATCAGAATCTCACAACAACAACGATGCCTTGATCCGATCGAGTATCAATACATCGCGCTCTAACCGCAATGCGGTGCTTAAGAAGTAAGGAAATAATTGTTGCCTCGCTCACTAATCCAATTCAACCCGCAATGCGTCAATCGGTATATTTGTAAAATGCTTGGTTGGTTGATCGTGAGATGGAAAGGAAAGATCAGAATAAATTTGACTTGTGAACAATTAAGTCGTGGATTCTCTACTATTAACTGGCGCCCAACGTGGGGCCCGTCGCTTAGCAATCATCTTAATTCGGCAAGCAGAATTGTCATAAAGGCAGAAGTGGACGGGACTCCAAAAAAATTACAGGACATCAGCATCCGTGACATCGGAGGAACATTCGCAGCATCTATCCCAGGATAAACTTAAGTTWCATCAGAGTAAAATTGTAAGTAAAAAATTAAAATTGATAATGTGTGATTTACAAGCTGTACTTAAAATTAAATTTTGAAAATAAAAAGTTTATATTAATATTGTAAGTTAATATTGAACTGTGTGAACTTGCGTTCGGAAAATTACACGCTCTCGTTTTTATAAGTTAATCGGTTTTCACTAATTTAACTGAATTAACTAGAATACTGGTGATCAGGATAACGTTTTCACATCTGRAACCGCTTTATAATTAAGAAAAAACTAAAGTTCAGTTTCAGGTATCAAATTATTCCCAGGGGTCCGAACACGAAAATACCTTGTTCACTGTGAAGTTATACTAATTAAAACTAAATTGCATTTTTCATGGTGAAAAGTTTAAAGTTATCTTAACTAAAACYATTTTTCAAATCACAAAATTAGTGAAGGTCATAGTTTTGCCTTTTTCCAAAAATTCGGGGTAAACTTCGCTCACCATTCTCGATTAATTATTTCAAGAATTTTCGTAAGTGAAGTTAACCTAGTTAAAAAAACGCGCGATTAAAAAGTCTATATAAAATACAAAATGGCGGTTTCAATGGATCAAGTGCTACAGGCAATAAGATCCGCTAATGAAGAAACTAGGTTAGAACTAGCAGAACAAATTAACAACCTTACTTCAGTTTTAAGACGGCTCGAGCCACCACGTGTCGAACCATACTTACCGGTTTCGATTAACCCAGCAATAGAAWCGGGAAATTTCAGTCTTGACTTAATAAAATCTTTGCCTGAATTTAACGGTGAAAATTYCTCCTACCCAGCTTGGCGTTCCGCAGCAAATTTTGCAATTAACTATTACCACGAAGGTTCGGAACGGTACTATGTGGCAATGGGTATTTTTAGAAACAAAATTACTGGGTCAGCTAACACTACTTTATCGTCATTTAACACTGTCCTAAATTTCAAGGCAATAATTGCTAGGCTCGATCAAACTTACGCAGATAAAAGACCAATTCATGTCTTGGAAAACGAATTAAGTATCCTCTGTCTCTTATACACATCTAGATGTGTATAAGAGACAGGGTTAGTTGATCGTGAGATTGTTGGAAGGAAAGATCAGAATCTCACAACAACAACGATGCCTTGATCCGATGGAGTATCAATACATCGCGCTCTAACCGCAATGCGGTGCTTAAGAAGTAAGGAAATAATTGTTGCCTCGCTCACTAATCCAATTCAAMCCGCAATGCGTCAATCGGTATATTTGTAAAATGCTTGGTTGGTTGATCGTGAGATGGAAAGGAAAGATCAGAATAAATTTGACTTGTGAACAATTAAGTCGTGGATTCTCTACTATTAACTTAGATAAGTCATAAATATAAATATCCTTATACTAACCCTTTAATTCATATACAAAGACACATATTATATAACAAATGTTACCATTATTACAGTTGATCAAAAACTGGTATCACAATAACTACATTGAACTTGAAATCCTAATTATACTTCTAAACGAAACTCATCTTGCCCACAATTCCTCTACCCCCACCCCCAAATCCTACGTAGGGCACTTTCACAACCTACCTCACATAATCTCAAAGAAAGAAGGAATCGCCATTCTGGTTAAGAGAAACTTTCCCCACCACCCCCTTCCTACCCAATCAAATATATCCTCACTATCCATACAACTTCAAACCCCCATCAGAATCACAATAACTTGCGCTTACTCCGCGCCAAGTCAATCAATAACAACATCTGACTTTTACAATCTTTTCCCCTCCCCTCCCCAACCCTTCATCCTTGCAGGCGACTTTAACGCTTGGAGTCCGCTCTGGGGATCTGCCTCCTACTAAACGACGGCTCCCCCACCCACTTTTCAACCCACTCAACCTTTACTCATATTGACCTTACGCTTTCCTCTCCCTCCCTTTCCAACAAGTCATCATGGCACCTTATAGATGACCTTCACAGCAGCGATCACTTCCCGATCCTTATCAAAATTCTCACATCCCGACCCACCATTCCCTTCTCTCCCAGGATCAAATTTAAAACAGATAGAGCGGATTGGAACAAATTCGAAAGCGCATTCGACTTCTATTCCAAATCCTTCCCAACATCAACCAAGAAACCTCCAATATCCATAAAGCAATCCGATGTGCATCCAACCTCTCCATCCCTCTGTCCTCAACCAAACCAGTAAAGCCAGCCTCTCCTATGGTGGAAAAACGAAATTACGTCCCTTAGGCAAGCCAAACAACAAGCGTGGCACCACTTCAAACGCAACCAGTCCACCACAACTCTCATTCAATTCAAAAAGCAGATCGCGCAATTTAGCCGGAAAATCAAAGATGCTAAGCTCGACCGTTTTCAAAAATTCACTAGCAGCATCAGTGCGTCTTCCGACCCTAAAAAAATCTGGGCTGACATAAAAACACTCACCGGTTTACCCTCTAATCCCCAAATCTACTCCCTTAACACCTCTCATGGCAACCTTCTATATCCCCAGGATATAGCTCAAGAATTCGCCAGTCACTTCTCTAACGCCTCTTCAGACCAAACCTTTCCCCCCGAATTTATCGCCTCTAAATGCTCACAAATCCTCCAACATCGTATCACACCAACCACTCTCTCTCATTTAGCCAAACTTTTAGAAGCCGACATATCTCTTTACGATCTCCAACTCGCCCTGTCCGCAGTAAAAGGCCAGACACTCGGCATCGACAAAATATCCTATCCCATAATTAAGCATCTCCCCAGATTACTCATTCACCGTCTCAGCAAACATTACAACAATATCCTCAACACAGGCCACTACCCACACGCGTGGAAAACCAGCGCAATAATACCCCTCTTAAAACCTGGCAAATCCCCTTGCGAAGTGAACAGCTATCAACCAATATCCCTTCTTCCCTGCCTAGGTAAACTAATGGAGAAGATAATTGCTACCAGACTAACCTGGTAAGCCCACTCAAACCAACTTATCTACCACAACCAAGTAGCCTCCAAGAAGGGACAAGGCACCACAGATGCCCTACTACACCTTGATCATTTTATCTCAAACGCGCTCTCCAGCAAAAACCATGTTTCCCTCCTTTCCCTCGACTTTCAAAAAGCATTTGATCGGATTGGAATGTA